GAAAATAAATACATGAAAAAATGTTCAACGTCATTAGTCATTCAAGAAATGCAAATTAAAACAGCACTGAGATTCCACCTCATCCAAGAAAGAATGACTACCATGAACAAATCAACCTATCACAAACGTTGGATGGGCTGTGGGGAAAAAGTAACTCTTCTCCACTATTGGTGGGAGTTTAGACTGGTGCAACCATTGTGGAAATCAGTCTGACAATTCCTCAGTAAACTAGGATTAGAGGTTCCATTCAATGTCCTGGGAATTTTCCCAAAAGAACTGGAAACATCATACCACAATGATATATGTGCACCCATATTTATAGCAGCACAATTTTTGATACCTACATCTTGGAAATAACCAAAATGTCCATCAAGTGAGGAATGGATAAAAAAGATGTGATATTTTTGTACAATGGAGTATTACTCAGGTATAAAGAAAGATAAACTAGAGGCTTTTATAGGTAAATGGATGCAACTAGAGACCATACTCACTAGTGAAATAAATCAGATTCACATGTGCAAACATTGTATTTCCTCTTTAGTATAAGAACCTGAAAGACTAAATAAAATCTGAAAGGTACTATAGGTATTGTGAAAGGGAAAATAAACTGCTCAAATAGGAAGGAGCAACTGGGATGAAGGAGGGGAGAGGATAAAGAAAGAAGGATGAAGGAAATATATATACTGTGTATATATAGATACACAGTATAGCTAGGATAATTGTACTACTAATATCTGTTGATTTATTGAAAGGAACTGTTAACGTGTAATTGTTTGATCAATCTTGCATGCCTATATCTGGTTATATGTGAAACCATTTTAAGATGACATTGTGTAGTATAACAACCATTGTTACTATCGTATTACCCTATTTGAAATTCTGTATCATTTTTATTGCTCTCTATGCTGTTTTGTTTGTGTATTTGTTTTCATTATTTTGGTTTTTAAAAAAAATGAATACCAAAATTTATATGTTTATATAAAGGTAACTGGGATAGGTATATTGCTGATGTCTGTATTTTACTGAGAGGAACAGTCAATGTTTAAAATATTCTTTTTTCTTTTTTTCTCTTTTTACTGAAATATTTATGTGTATTAACAAATGAATAAATATCGGTAAGAGGAAAGCAGAACATGGTAAAATTTATTTCTTTTTATTTTAAAGATAGTAGTAAATGAGAAACAAACAAACAAACAAAAAAATAGAACAGTGGCAGCATACCAGTATCACAAACATAAACAAATCAAAGCAAGAACATTCAAAGTGATCCAGGGTCTCAAGACAAAATAATACAAATCAACAGTGATTGTTACATTACATATCGCTATCCTCAACTACATTGCTCATATTACCAGATGTAAGAATGAAGGATTGCTCAAACCATTAAGGAGAATAAGAAAATAATTCTTCAATAAAACATTAGAGATAATACAGAGTTGACCAATTTTGCACGCTTGAATTTTTTAATCAGAATGACTGATCTGAAAAGAATATACAATATAAGAAGCATTGTTGAACCTTACCATCTTGTATGGTGAAACTCTGCATCGTTTCCAATTTTTTTTGGTTTTTTTTGGATTTTTCTCCGGTACCAGGAACCGAACTCACGATCTTGCGCTTGCCAAGCAGGCGCTTTTGCCGCTGAGCTAAATCCCCAGCCCCTCCAATTTTTTTTTTTAATTACTCGTTACTGTCTTTGATTGTTTGATCAATCTTACATTCTTATGTCTAGTGGACTGAGCAACTTCGTTGAAGATAACGGTATGTAATGTAGCAACCATTCTTAATTCCTATCATTATGTTTTGAGGTCATGTATTTTTTTTTTTTGCTGTTTTTGTGTTGTTTTGATTTTGTCTTCATTGTTGTTTTATCAGTTTTTAAATTTTAAAATAAAAAAAAAAATGAGGACCCTGGCTCCCTTTCAGTTGCTGGTGAAACTCCTAAACCTCTGAGGTTGACACAGTGTATCACCCAGTGTGCAAAGTTGAAAGAGCTGCGAGTTTAGGTCATATTCAGCAAGTGCCAGTGGCGCAGAGGAAGCAGTGGTAAAGGGGCTGAAGAGTGTCCGGTCGGTTTGAGGGCTTGAACTAGATTGAGTGCTGGGATCATCACCAAGCTGCAGTTGGAGGGTGAAGATGAAAAGAATGTGACCAAGTTAAACCCTAGGTGTGTGGGGGACTGGAAAAAGCCACTTCACAGTAAAGAGGAGAATGGTTTTCTCTCTTTGTTTTTCACAGATGGAAGAGCTTTGCCCCTATTTTCATGCCAAGGACAGGAATCACCACCGAGGGAAGCAAGGAAGAGAGTAGTGGAAGAGTTGAGATTTATGAGAGAAAGATGTCAGGAAGGAAGGATTAGGATTTGGTGGCTGACAGGACTGTGTTGGTTAGAAGTGTAATTACTAAAAGAAGCAGCTTTTTAAAAAATACATGAGAGTAGTAGAAGTAAAAACAGATTAGTGATCTGAAGCTGCGTTTGAGGTTTTGGAGAATAGTGATGTCACCTTCCTCATAACCAGAAGTGAGGCAAGAAGAGCCCTGCTCTTCACAGGGAGCCAGCATCAGAGCACAAGCACTGCCTCTGAGGAGAGTGGTGACACAGACTGTGCACAGGGAGGGTTCTGAGGACACTGAAGGTAACAGCAGGAGGCGCTCTGCAGTGACAGAGGTTCCCAGTGAGAGCCTCCTGCAGCTGATACCTAGCAGTGCTGGCATCTGAGAGCGTGGAGAGTGGGAGGGGGCGTGGAGGGTGTGGGAAGCTGTCATGGCACATAGAAACCTATAGGGAAAGAGTCTCCTCTGCTATTTTGTGCCATACTAAATCATCAGGGATGTGTACTCTGTGTTTGTCTCCTATAGACACGAGTATACGAGTGGATACTACAGAGTGTCATCTTATTTCCTGGGAAAACTGTTGTGTGATTTGGTACCCAGGAGGTTGTTGCAAAGTTTCATCTTTACTTTCATACTATACATCATAATAGGTAAGTAGCGAGACAGAGAGACTTGGTTGTGAGGTGAAGACAATTTCCTTGTGTCAATACATTTATGATTTTTCAAACTGCTGACCAAGTCACAAGCCAGGGAAGCCTGTAATCCCAAGCATGCACACTCCAAACTACCTATTCAATGTCGATGTTATTCCCCAGACTTTCTCCAACTGAAATTTTGAAATTTTTTGTAGAGTTATTAAGACAAACATTTACTGTGACTCATACTGAAATATGGAAAAATTTGTAAGATTTTTTTGAGTCTATCTTGCAAAAATTATGATATTAATTACATAACTATTTTTTATATGTCTAAGTAGAAATAAAATTTAGATACTTAATAACTTTAATATCTCTGTATCTGTAAAAGTCTATTATCTATCTATCCAATTACATATACACAATGATAAACATTCATACACATATATAAATGCAGAGAGAGATATCAAGATTTCAGTATACACAAGTATTTGCTTCCTCTCCCATTGTCCAATGAGAGAAAGAAGATGACTTTGGGATTTATGGAATTAATGGAAATATTTGTTTCATAGATGTAGAAAGATTCATTTGTGCAGTATATTCAGAGTTCACCATTGACTCAGTACACACACACACACACACACACACACATACACACACGAAATACATATTTTTATAACACAAAGGGTGTAAACACTAGTAGAGCTTATCTTTCATTATATTAATAAGAAGTATGTCATGAAAAATGAGGCATATCATACAGACTCCTATATTACTGATTGGTATTATTGCACCTCATTTCCAGTCTTTAGACTGCTTAACATATAGCAATAAGTAATTACTCTTTACAAAGTAATTTGTGAAACTTAAACTCCCCATTCTCCATTTAAGAGTTGTGTGGTACTTGATCATACTTTCTTGGAGATATTGAAACTACATTGAAGTCATGAAATTCTGATCATTGTTTCTACACTCATGCTGTAATAGCAAACAATAAGTAGTGTGGCAATGTCTGCTTAAGTGAATGTGTCATTGATACATTTCCTATGAGAGAAGACAACAAAATTTTCATCTGTTATGATGTCTCTAACTTTCTGCCTCAGGAATCAGCAATTGTTCATAATTATATGTACTCAATCATAGGTGCTATGTGAAAAAGTGCCTTTGGAGTAAGTGTGGGATAAAACTCTGTGCTAAGTTTCTACATTTATATGCAGACAACAGTAAAATTGGTGAGCTAGGATATCTGGTTAGATATCTGGTTAGAACCTCTGGTTAGGTTCCTTTTTTCATTCTGATATTAGTTTCTCAGAATATTGTGATGCTATTTGCACAATGAGCAATCACAAAAATACAACAATATAGGCTGATGGACTAATCCCTTCTTTTCGTTCCAAGGACTGAAACCAGCAGTGGAAGCTTTCTTCATTATGATGCTTACCATTTGGATGGTGGTTTGTTCAGCTGATTCTGTGGCACTGGTCTTAGCAGTAGGCCATAGTGTAATGCTGCCCATAATATCATTTCTCATGACCAGCTATTTTCGGTTTATGTTGGTGAGTAGAAACTGTGCATGTCTGAGAGTGAAACTTTCCATTGTTCCATCCTACATATTCAGTCATTATGTAAGTCTTGCTTTGAGGATTCGGTACTTGGGATTCTGACACTTTCAGGAAATCATAAATTTTACTAAAGTTTATAATGGCATTTAACAGTCCTCCTCAACACTCATATATAACTTTTTTTGGTCTTTATTTCAATGTCATTACTGTAACTTGGTTAACATGCTTTTACTGATTAGCTTTTTGTTGTTGTTGTTCTTGAGACAGGGTCTTGCAGTGTAGTTAAGGCTGGCCTTGGACTCACTATGTAGCCCAGGCTGGCTACAAACTTGCAGCATTTCTCCTGCCTCAGCCTTCCCAGTTCTGAGATTGCAGGTGTGCACCATCATGCCTAGCTGATTAGCTTTTTAAAGGATAGTTCTTCTGACATATTATGAAACCTTAATAAATGAGAAACTCAAGAAACAATTATGGTTGACAGTCTCCTTCATAAAACAGAAAGATTATCTGCTTTTCTTTCATTTTAGTATTAGAGAAAGTCTAGTACTTAACCACAAGTGAAGTGATTTTTGTTGGATTTATTCCTGTCAGGGTGAAGTTAAGTTCCATGATGAGTTAACAGTGTGCATTGTGGGGAGTCTATCAGAGTGCTTCTTGTATTTTGAAAAAGAATATTTTAAAATTTCAGGAGAGTTACAATTTTATTGCCCAGGGATACTCTCTCCAAGTACATTCTAGGCATGGGCCTTGGTAGGTAAAGAACAAGCTCTTAGTCCTTACCATGGACTTGTAGACCCTCAGTGCCACTTCATGGAGGAGAGAAGGCAACTTAGACAGTGGCAACAACAATCACACATGGGAACTGTTAGGTCCACAAGATGACCAGCAATCTGGGTCCCAGTACACTATCAGCGACACAGTACATCTTTTTGGGTCACTAGAGAGGGCACTATTCAGTGAAGAATCTCCATCTTGTACCTTGGCAATCCAAAAAAATGCTCACTTTGAGTCCATCAGTATTAGGAGTATCCAGAAAAGGATGAGTTGAAATTTTCTGAGAAGATATGTCTGTAATCTGGGGCACATCAGAAAGAGATAACCACTTACAACCCTCCCAGTACAGGAGAATAGATACATTTTCACAGTGAAGTCCAAACTTCAACATAGGGACAAACTAATATGAGAAAACAAGTCACCAAGATGCCTGCACAAATATACAACTCTGCCAAAGCTAACCTCACAGATGAGGAAGTAGATGAAATTCCAGGCAAATAATTTTAAAAATTGACAATTCTAATGGCCAGTAAGATTAATAAAAAGACAGATAATCAAATGAATAAATTAATAACTAAATTGGACAATGAGATCTAAGTAGATATAAAATGCAATTAAATTAATTAAAGATGATAATGCAGGGTCTTAATGACTATTTCGGTAAATAGAGAATTTTTGGAGAAGAACTAAGTAGAAACTCTGAAATTGAAAACATCAGTAAATTAAATAAAAATGTCCACTGAAAGTTGAGGCAGTGAACATGCTCAATTAGAAGATAGAATATTTGGATGCAAAAATAGAGTAGATGTGCTAGAATACACAGTAAGAATGGAAAAATAGAGGAATGAACAACGCTGATACAATTATGTGAGAATTCCTGCATAAATCTAAAGGAATGAATTTAAAGTCTATTGGACTAGAGCAGGGTGATGAAATAAAGGACAATGAAATAAAAATAACTATTGGATGAAATTACAGCAAAAAAAAATTCTAAAATTTGGAAATGAGACAAAGACCTAGGTAAAGGAGGAATTTAGAAGCACAAATGAGGTTCAGAAATGGACCTCACCTTAGCACACCACAGTCAAAATGCCAGAGGTTCATAACAAAGAAACAATGTTAAAATTTGTTAGGAGAAGTACCAAGTCACTTGTAAGGTCAAATCTATGAGAACAACAGCATATTTCTCATAAGAGAATGTAAGAGCTAGGAGAAATTTGAAGGAAATTCTTTAAGACCTGAAAGAAACTAATTGCTAACTCGTATTATTGTATCCTGAAAAGGAACCTTCAAAATCAAAAGAAAAATAAAGACCTTCAATGATAAATATAAACTAGACTAATTCATATCTGTCAAACTAGCATTGCTGGAAATACTGATACATTCACTACTGAATTCTACAAGAAATTTGGAGAAGATTTAATGACAATATTCCTCAAACTCTTTAATGAAATTGAAAGGGAAGCAATACTCCCTAACACATTGCTGAAGGCAAGTATTACCTTGATACCAAAACCAGAGAAAATCCAACCAAAAAAGAGAACTATAGGCCAATCTCCCTAATGATTCAAAAATACTCAATAAAATACTAGCAAACAGAACATACTATGTCATCAAGAAGATTATGCACCATGACCAAGTGGGATTCATCCCAGAAATGTAGGAGTGATTCAGCATATGCAAACCAATAAATGTAATACACCATATCAACAGAGCCAAAGACAAATATCACATTATCATCTCATTAGATGCAGAAAAAGCTTTTGACAAAGTTCAACACTCATTCATGATAAAAACTCTACAGAAAATTGGAATAGATGGACTTTACCTCAATCTGTTAAAAGCCACCTAGGACAAACCAACAGCCAGCATCATACTAAATGGACAAAAACTGAAATCTTTCACTCTAAAGTCAGATACAAGAAAAGGATGTCCACTGTCACCACTCCTGTTCAACATAGTCCTGGAAACACTAACCAGAGCAATTAGAAAAGAGAGAAAAATAAAAAAAAAAAAAAAGGATAAGAAAAAAGTTAAATTATCATTATTTGCAGATGACATGCTATTCTACATCAAAGACCCCCAAAACTCCACCAAAACACTTGTAGATTTAATAAATTTAATAGTGTCTCTGGATAAAATTCAGCACTCAAAAATCAGTAGCATTTCTGAATACAAACAACAAATTCCCTGAAAAAGAAGTTAGGGAAATCACACCCATCACAATAGCATCCAAAAAAATGAAATATCTAGAAATCAATCTAAGAAAGGAAGTAAAGGTCAATGTATTGAGAATTTCAGTACTCTGGAAGAGGATATCTAAAGGCTATCAGAAAATGGAAAGATAGGGGCTGGGGATTTAGCTCAGCGGCAAAAGCGCCTGCCTGGCAAGCGCAAGGTTGTGAGTTCAGTTCCTGGTACCAGAGAAAAACCAAAAAAAAAAAAAAAAAGAAAATGGAAAGATACCCCTTGCTCATGGATAGGAAGAATCAACACAGTGAAAATGGCCATACTCTCAAAATTGCTATACAGATTTAATGCAATCCTGATCAAAATACCATTGGTCTATAGATATAGAGAAATACCATCCCACATAGATATAGAGAAAACATTCCTAAAATTCATGTGGAACTGGAAGAGGCCTGGAATAACAAAGACAATCCTAGGCAACAAATGCAAGGCAGAGACATCACTATACCTGACTTGAAATTATACCACAAAGCTACTGCTATAAACTCAGCATGGTACTGGCAAAAAACAGAGCTGAGGATCAGTGGAACAGATTAGAAGAAGGAGACACAACTACAAACACACTCAGCCAACCTTATCTTTGACAAAGGGCCAAACATATTCACTGGATGAAAGAGAGCCTCTTTAAAAAATGGTGCTGGAAGAATTTGCTCTCTATATGCCAAAGATGAAAACTAGACTTATATCTACCACCATGCACTAAACTAAAGTAAAAATGGATCAAAGATCTAAATATTAAAACAGAAACACTGAATCTACTGGGAGAGAAAGTAGGTAGAAATCTTGAAGGCATAGGGGTAGGCAGAGAGTTCATAAACAAAACCCAGACTGCATGGGAAATACTTTAAAGTATCAACAGCTGGGATCTTGTCTTATTAGAAAATTTTTCACATCAAAAGAAATCCCAAAAAAGTGAAAAGATAACCCATAGAGTGGGAAAATATTTTAGTCAATTGTTCTTCAGACAAAGGATTTCTACCTAGAACATATAAATAATTGAAAAGAATCAGATCCCCCAAACTCAAAGATCCAGTCCAAAAATGGGCATCTGAGATGAATAAAGCCTTCTCAGATGAAGAAATACAAGCAGCAAGTAAATATATGAAAAAATGTTCAACATCAGTAGTCATTTGAGAAATGCAAATTAAAACAACACTAAGATTCCATCTCACCCCAGAAAGAATGACTATCATGAAGAAATCAACCAATAACAAATGCTGGATGAACTGTGGGGAAAAATGAAACTTCTTCACTGTTGGTGGGAGTGTAGACTGGTACAACCACTGTGGAAATCAGTGTGAAGATTCCTCAGAAAATGAGGGCTACAGGTCCTATTCTATCCACCTATTCCCCTGCTGGGTATTTTCCAAGAAGAATTAAAAACATGAAACCACAGTGATATATGTGCACCCATGTTTATAGTAGCACAATTTGTAATAGCTAAATCTTGGAAACAGTCCAAATGCCCATCAATACAATGGAGTACTACTCAGCCATAAAGAAAGATAAACTCCTCCGTCATGTATTATTAACAGGGACTAATACAAGACAAGTTTAAAATAGTGAAACATTCATAAGTTCACAGTCTTCAGTCATCTTATTTCTTGGTTTGTGGTAATCTTGTATGTCAACATATCTGCTTATCTATTTTAGAAATATTAATGTAGTTCTAATCTTACATATACTGAAATTTGGCTCTCACATAAGTGAGTTATGAGAATAGTGGAACATTTTCTCTTACCATATCAATTAAAGAGAAATGCCTTGCCTTTTAAAACACAGATCATTTTATGCTACAGTAGGAGCATATGTTTTTAAATGATACATAACTACCATATGTCAGTGGTGAGCAACCTATAGCATTCACTCCACAGTTGTCTGTTATTATTGAAAGTTCTAAATGGTTTGTCATCACTGCCATAAGCTTGTGACAGAAATTTTTTCTCACACGTTTGAATTTGGTAACTACCAATATAGATATCATTGAAAAATTACTATGTTTTGTGATCCACTAAAGAAAATATATCTCAATTAATAAAAATGTTTTACTGAGTTATTTGATGCTGATAGATATTGTTAGATAGTGATGTCTATATGCAGCTATAACACCAGTCATAACATGATATTTATGTAGAGATACTCTGCTATATACTAAACATTTGGTTTTAAGTGAAGTTTAGATATAAACACACTTACCAGCAACATTGAAATTTTTTGCACATCCCAGTAGATTTTGTTCCACTTAGAATAAGTTTCATAGGAACCTCATTGTGCCACATGTTCATTCTGCGCCGTCCTTCCTGGCACTGCCATTGTGATACTGCTTTTGTGTCAGTTTAAATGGATATATTGACCATATTATCTGCTGTATTTCATCACATTATGGTGCTCATCAGTTCTTGACTTGGCATTATTGTAAACCTGCTTCTGACCCCAAGTAATTGAAATGAAGTGATACTTTTGTAAATAACACATTATTTTTGTAAGGAAGTAGAGTGGGACATGTGATGGTGAGGATTGTTCTGATTTGTTTCAGAATTGCCGAGATTTTTAGGGGAACAGATGGGTGTAGTTTCTTTATAATACTCAATAGAGTTGGCCCATCATGTTCATCAGTTCCACATCCAAAGATTCAACTAATCTTGCCTCAAAAATATATAAAACAAAAATTGTGTCTGTAGTGAATAAATAATATTCTTTTCTTGTCATTATTCTCTAAATAATACTACATAAGCAGTTTTCATAGTATTAGCTTGAAGATTGTAGGATTCTTGAAAAAGAAGTTTTCTAGAATTCCTCCTGCAATCCCTGGACCTGTTGTGATTCATGGTTTTTTCTTTTTTGTAGGGATTTTGGTACATGACATTTCTTTTCAGAATCATTGGGTCTCGGCTCTTATGGCTTCAGTACATCAATGTTCCATACTATGGCCTGATGGTAATTGTGGTTTGTCTATCTTTGTGACTGGGTTCCCAGGCTGGAAAGAACCAGAATAAATCCTGGATGTCTCCTTTTCCTGGCTATTGCTCTAAAGAGCAGTTGATAAGAAATCCATTTTAGCAGTGGTTAGCACTTACTCAGGGAGTGGCCTGGGGTTTTCTCCAGTCTCCACATTGCAGGAGGTTAAGTGTGGGGTAAATCTCACACTAAAGAACAATCAATTAATGAAAATATACTATTGTGTGCAGTTCAATAAGGAAATAAATGAGATTATAGGAGACTGGAATGCATAGTTTGCATCTCAAATAAGAACAAAAATGAAGACCATGCAATACTTACAGCCATGTTTGCTTTAGCAGGCTAATCATCCTGAAAGAAAACTTTCTTTTTAAATTTTGGTGTAATATAAGTAGATACTAATAAAGAAGATGTAAAAATGCACTCTTCTTCTATAGAAAAAAGAAAAAGAAAATAGAGAATAACAACAGTTAATATACTGGGTAACATAATCTTAAAAGAATAGCTAAAATGTTACTCAGAGTACAAGTCATTGAAAAAATTACTCCTCTACAAAGAAGAAATAAACAGAAAAAAGCACAAAATATTCTCTTCAATAAGCTAAGGGAAACTACTATTAATATGTGTGTTTCTAGCTCCAGTAATTGCAGCTAGTTTTGATAAAATCAATCAAGAATGAAAGACTGTGGCTGTACATCAACACTATTCATTGAGCACCACTGTTATTACAGTGACTTTAGTGCTTGTGGGTGACAGTGTGGTGGGGTAAAGGAGGACAGAGCGGCAGTCTGAGGGAATCTACTCAGTGGTCTTCATGGCCAACTGAAAGCAACACCTCAACCCCTAGGCCTGTTCATGGCCAGGAAAATAAGTCTAGTTGCTTTGTTGTGACAGGGACTATGAGTGTGAAACTTGGTGTGTTTTCAGAAAAAAAAAATACAGGGATAGAATTGCACTAAATTTCTTAGAAAAATTTTAAAATTTAAAAATATTTACCTTGATTTAATTTGCATTGTATTTTAGGCTTTGCAGCACAATGAATTTTGGGGTCAAAACTTCTGTCCAAGACTCAATGAAACTGGAAGCAGTGACTGTCCCAACTACGTAATGTAAGTGCTCAGTGCTCAGTGTCATGATGGGCCGACTCCGTCTGTAGTGCCACGGAGAAAGGCCCTTGGGCTTACAGCTGGTGTAAGTCCTTTCAGTGAACACATCAGTCTGCACCTGACTTACCTCATTTGTGAGTCATTCTACACTCATGTACGTGAACATGCTGCACAACGCTTCTTCTGCACTTCTGCAGTTCTTCTGCAGTAAATACTATATTTAACGTGGAGAAATACTTGTGTTACACTTTTGAAGCTATTTTGGTGTTTTGATGGTTGGCTTAAGTTCCTTGCCTTTTAAGCTTGAAATTACCTACTTTGATAGTGAATCAAGGATTTACAGTCTCTGCTATCTGTGAGCTCCATCTATGGACAATAGTAGGAGCTAAAAGGGGAGGAACAGCAAGATTCTGGCAATTTTCTTTCCCTCAGGCATTGGAAGATATCAAGAAATGAAAATCTGCACAGTTGAATGTGTCTGTGTTTATAAATTTCTATAACATGCATCCTCTAAAGAAAGGGACACATATCTCAATGCATTTCTGCACAGTGCCTTCAAAACACGAATACAGTTTAGAAAGTTAAAATATATTGTTTTAAAATTGTAATGATACTTTCCTTTCCCATGTTTGTGGTTAATGTTTGATTCTCATACATTAGTTTATGTGAGAGGACAGAATATTTCTTTTTGTTCCGTGGCATCTTCTGATGCTTGAAACAAAGAGCATTGTCAGCATTGTGACTGTGCAATGTTCTCTCCTTTTGTGCTGTTGCTGCAGCTCCTATCATTGTTTACAGGTTGGGCTCAGGTAGTGGTGTATATTTTTGCTTAACTATCAAAACAGCCCGTTTACACTCAAATGTACTCAAAAGAGGTCATTTTATATTTCATGTAGTGTATAAATTATTATTAGAATTGAGAGAAATTTGTGTTTTGAATTATTGGCTGTAAAAGCTAGTATGAACAGTGGTTCTCTTTATCCCACCCACTTCCTTCGCTTTGATCCAGGTGTGGCAAATTTATAATAAAAATTTACTGCCAGTCTGCTGATCAGGAAGAAGTGAACAGGAAAAGTGGAGCAGTGAAGGAGGATTTGCCATAGGCTTTGAGTGAAAAGGGGCTGCAGATGATTTTAGTACTGTCAAGTCCAAGAGATGCACAAGAACAGGAGCAGGCAATAATTTTGGCTACCATAGGCATTTTGAGCACAGGGACTTTTTCATCTGTAGCAAGACAAGTCCATCCTGCTCTGCTTCAGCTACCTAAGATTTGAATCTGATACCTGGGCCTGCTGGTGATGTTTTGTAGCTGAGTATCTTTCAGTCTTGGTGCAAGAACTGAAAGAATGTGATCTGACCAAAGCCCTTGCCTTACTTTTAGGATTTATAGCCTGGGTTCTGGATGGCTTTCTTATAGATCAGCAGAGAGTGGGATTTGTTTCTTAGCAAGGCCTGTGAGTGCCACAGGATAAGCCCTTGGTATTTCTCATCAAAAGAAAATCAAAATATTCACTAAGATTTCCTTTGAAGAGAACAGCAAGCATTACAGATTTGGAAACAAATGAATTAGAGGAGATTGGAAAAACAGTTTCACTCTGGCCCATTCCTTCTTTAAGTGTGTATTATAGCTCCTTTCTGGACTGTTTGGGATTAACTGTCCAGATAGTATCTAGCTGATGGTAAGCACTCTTCAATGACTATCAACTACTATAAGTTGAAGTGATAAGTATTTGTTTAACTTATAGGATATTTGTTTAACTTATAGAATATTTGTTTAACTTATAGGATTATTTATCAAAGGAATACTGATGATACAGAGTAAGATTTAACATATGCTAAAATAATGAAGTTATATCACTTTTGTCTTGAATTTCAGATGTACTGGTGAAGAATTCCTAACAAGTCTGGGTGTTGATCTCTCACCTTGGGGCTTATGGAAGAATCATGTGGCTTTGGCTGTTGTAATAATTGTCTTCTTCATAGTTGCCTTCTTAAAATTATTGTTTAAAAAACATTTTTAAATTCCCCTTAAATTTACTGCAAATTACCTTCTCATTAGAAAGAAACATCATGATGTATTCTGTGTCCAAATATTTCATTCTGTTGTCTATTCTTTGCCATCACACTGTTTTCCAGCAACAATTATTTTTAATGGAACTATTCACCAAAATCAAGCAAACTGAATTATGTGAATTTTGCAAAGACCTCAAACTAAAAATTAAAGCAGTTATAAATCTTTATTAAATTACGTTGTTAGACAATACTCACAAAGAACTAATCTAATGTATTGAACTAAAAAACTAAAATGGAATTGTAGAATGCCTTGACAAACTACTATCTTTGGTATTAGCTTCCATACCTTTCAAATGAATGGGTGGACTATCAAAACTGATAGTCCATGATCTGCGGTCTGGTGTTCTTTTATAAATTACAAAATATTCATGCTGTATTAGAAGAATGAAATCTAACATATGTTGGAAAACCAAACCAGTGTTACTCTAGCATTAAGAAAACTTGGTGTTACAAAAATATATTAGATACCATTGTTAAGGTTGGTAGCACTTATTCCTCTCCAGAGAATTGTAGTATATCACTTTTTTAGGAGATCTTTTGTTCTTGTACCATTTGTGGGACATTCTGGCTCTCTTTTCTGCCCTCTGGGACAGTCCAGTACTTTTCAATTTTTGAATCAGAGTTTTCTGGGGAACTTTTGCTAAGACACATATTTGAATCCTGCCTCATCCTATTGCAGTATCTGCAAAGCTGCCTCCTTGAAGAGTTGACCACTGCTAGACTCAGCATTCCCAAGATCCTTGCCATTCTAGAAATTTTAGACTTATGGCTTAGTGTTACCTATCCCTATAAAAGTCTCCCTGGTACCTGCCCACTACTTTATTTCCACATCATTCTCAATTTGAAAATTCTACTGAAAGTATTCATAGCAGAAGTGATCAGTATGAGGATAGAGTATCAGAACTAGAAAGCAATGCATTTGTTGCTGACCAATTAATGAGAGATGTTGGTACAAAGTTGACTTCTGTGTGGAATGACAGGTCCTGAGAATGATGTGTGGTGGATGAAAAGAAAAACAAGAGAGACAAACTTATGTGATCAGGGGGCTACAACCTCTAGAACTGAAGCCCCAATTACAATTTTCTTTAACCTTTTATTGGGATTACCACAAAAAGAAGGGACAGGGGAAATGGGAGGAATCATTAACAGGGTTAGTGAGGGCCATACAGCTTAATTATCCCAGGAAGTGAACTTTGAATCATCATGTCTTCATCCCTTTAGACATACCTCTGCAAAGCATCTAGTGCTGTCCCAGCAGCTACAGTCCTGCTTTCATTTTCTTTTACACTAATGTTTTTGCTAGACTTCCTCCAGAAACAATCACATGGCTTTGTCAGGCTCAAAGTCTAATACCTGTATTACCATCTAGGTAATACATTAAAAGGTAAACTATAGAATGTCCTACTCCACAAAGAGATATCTTAAAAACTTAAAAGAGTACATGTAAAATGGATTCAAGATCTACTAGATGATGAAAAGAGATTAATCTAAGACTAAGTAGAATTAATGAAGAATCAGAAGATAAAACAAATGGCATAAAAACCCTGAAATAATAGTAGTAAACTTTCCAAGTAAGAGAAAAGAATGTAACATAGAGATGAGTGAGACATATAGAACCCAAACAGCCACAAAGAGAACAGAACCTCTCCATGACACGTCACAGTCAAAATCCGGAAGTTCTACACAACGACAGAATCTTAAAAGGAGTTAGAGAAAAGTAACAAATCTCTTATGAAGGAAAACTTGTCACAATTACAAGAAATCTTTCAACACACAATTAAAGGTTCGGATATTTTGGAAGAAAGTATTTTAAGTCCTAAAAAATCTGTATATCTTTCAAAATATCTTTAAAAAGTGACAGAGAATGAGATACATTCATGATAAAAAGCACCAAAAGAAGTTCATAACCACCAAACCAGCACTTCAAGAATTGTCAAGGGTACCCTAGAAACAGACAATGAAGTTAAAATGACAAAAGTTCTAATAAAATGAATATTTCAGGTAATAGGTAAGTAAAAGGGAAAGGTAAGGGCTCAGTGACAGAAAAATAGTGCAATGACAAAATAAGCCAATAACTATCAATAATAACTCTTGATCTGAACAGTCTCAACTCACCAATCAAAACACACAGCTGCCAGAATGGACTAAGGAACAAAATCCAAAGATATGTGGTATAAAAGAGACATTTAACCCAAAAAGAAACCCATACATTATAAATCAATCAATGGAAAACAATATCCCATACAATGGGAACCTATCCCATACATGTAGCTGTCCTATTTTCAGATAAAGTGGACTTTAAGTCAAAACTGATCAAAAAAGGCAAAAATGGTCACTACCATCTCTGTTGTAGTCACTACATACTGGTTAAGGCAACAACCCAATACCAAACAACAACACCAAGAGCACCACAAAACAGCACACCCAACATTATTAAAGAAGCACTACCGGGGGCCAAGTGCCTTGACTGCTGGGCACTCTGACTCCAATTCTGAGGTATAAATTCTCTATGCAACTGCCATTCCGGAACGTGGTGATCTGGAGCTCTTTTCTCGAAGCAAAATTTTCACTTTTGCAATTTTGAGTCTGCAAAGGGTAGAGTCCTGCTGCCTCTTGTGAAGCACTCAAGCTATCTTTTCTATTGTCCTGTTCCTTCTCAGCAATTAAGATCTCTTCTGGTCTATGTTTTTAGTCCACAGCTTTACCAGATCTAAAATCAGATCATCCTAACCACAATTATAATGGGAGACCTCAATACCCCACTATCACAAGTAGACTGATCACCTAGACAAAAAAAATCAGAGTCCAGAAAACCTTTAAAGAAGTGAACTGAATGGATATCTACAGAGTATGCCCTCCAACCACAACAGAATATACATTCTTCTCAACAGCATATAGAACTTTCTCCAAAGTAGACCATTTGCTGGTCAATAAAGCAACCTTTAGTAAATACAAAATAATTAAAATTAGAACATCAATATTGTCAGATGACTGTGTAAGGAAACTAGAAATCAAGGACAAAAGAAAACCTAGAAATTATGTAAATGTGTAGAAAAATTTTAAATGCTCTCAAGTAACTAATGGGATACATAAAAAAGAAATAATACCGTTTCAAGAACTGAATGATAAAAACAGTACGTTACATCAAAACATTTGAGACACAATGAAAGTAATCCTAAGAGGAAATTTTATAGTTGTGAATATACACAGCACAATACCAGAGCAAGCCCAAATAAATAACTAATGATACATCTCAAAGACCTATGAAAATAAGAATAATCCAAACCCAAAGCAAGTGTAAGAAGGAAATTATGATGATCAGAGCAGAAAGCAATGAATTGAGATCAAAATACAACACAAATAATTAATGAATTAAAACTTGGTTCCCTTCAAAGAATAAACAAATTAGACAAAACCATAGCCAATTTAACCAAGATAAGGAAAGACCCAAATGAATGAAATTAGAAATGAAAAAGGTGAAATCACAGCGGATATTGCTGAAATAGATAAAATAAATAAGAACTTATTCACAATCCTGTATGTCAATAAATCAGAGAATGGAGAAAAATGTGTAGGTTTCAAGATGTACCTGAATTACCAAACCTGAACCAAGAAAAATTTTAAAAGCCCTGAATAGTCCAATAACAGGCAAATAAATTGAAGCAGTAGTTTAAAAGAAAAACTTTACCAAGCCCATATCCTGATAGGTTTACTGCTGAATTCTATAATAACTTCATGAATATTCTAATGATACTCCTTAAGCATTTAAGTGTAACTGAAAGGGAAGCTGCAATCCCAATGACATTACTGGAAGCTATTGTGACTATTTCAAAAGCAGACAAGAATCTCATCAAAAAGGAAAACTATAGACCAATTTCTTTAATGAATATAGATGTGTTTTGCTACATTTTTTTCCTCATTGGTGAAACTAAATACCTTACAGCCAAAGTTAAAGGGGGAAATGTTTACTTAGCTCACAGTTTGTAGAGGGTTCAGTCCATAATCAGTTGAGTCCAAGCCAGGGTGGCATGGAAGAGGAGCAATACTTCATGGTGGTGGGAGATACAAAAATCAATAGGAATAGAGCAAGGCAAATCTCTTTGTCCTGTTCCTTCTATTAAATAAATAAATTTTTTATTCAGGTTATCTGCAGAAGGGTGGGTGTCCCTTATATTGTATGCAGGTTACTCTTAATCACAGCATTGGACTATGAATCAATCACATACTCTAGATTCAGCTATTTCCAAAAATCCTACCCGCCATGACCACAAGAGGTTTTGGGGGAACATCTACATGCAAACCATAACATTCTACCCCTGGTCTCCAAAAGACTCATGTACATTCCTTTATGCAAAAGACATTTGGTTTATCTCTATGAGTTGCCAAAGTCCAACAGTTTCAGGATTGCTGAAAAATACAACTCCCAAGTCTCCTCTGAGATTTAAAGAAAACTCTTAGCTGTGAGCCCTTGTACAAATGAAAAGAAACAAATACTTCCAGCATTCAATAGATAGACACAAGATAGACACAGCACAAGATAGACATTTCTATTTTAAAAATTACAAATGGGGATACAAAGGTATGGGATCACAGCAAGTCTAAAATCCAGCAGTGAAAACATTAAGTCCTGTTATTCTATGTGCAGCATCCAGCCAATCTGTGTAAAGATGTAAACTCCAAGGATCTTGGGTGGCTCCACCCCTACAGCACTGCTGGTTGTTGTAGCTCCTGTGGCTTTTCTTTTGGGAGCTCTGCTCCCTCCTTGCAATTTTTTTGCATATGTTCTACATCCCTGGATTCTTCAAACTTCTATGGTTTCCACTGACCTTTTGGCTTCACACAGCTTCACACACTGTCATCTCAGGGGTACACTGCCTTGTCGTGCACGGCCTTTTCTGAAATTTGGGTGGAAGCATTCCTGATCCCACAGCTCTTGCATTCGGCATGAGGCTAAAACCAGAATCACATGAATGATAATAAGTTTTGCTGCCACCTGGGGCAGTAGCCAGGCTTTCCTCTGTATTTGTTGTAGGGGCCACATGCCTGGATTGCTGGGCACTCTGAATCCAATTCTGAGGTATAAATTTTCTATGTGCTTTGCCTCCCTGACCAGCTTTCAAGGCAGACAAAACCTTGGGCACCCTCTGGGGCCTTGGTGGCTACCTGCCAAAC